TTTTCATGACTTTTTCTAGTGCTGTTTATAAAATACGGATGGTGGAAAGGCTATGTAAAAGTTGAAGAGCAAAGAAACAGACAGTTTATTCAAAATGACCTGAACAATAGGGAAACAATCTCACATAACTGGAAATCCAGAAATTGTTACGGGACTCATAAGTCATGGTTTCATTACAGATCAGGATTTTGTTCTTTTTTCTGTTCCTTATCCTTAGTGTTTACTTTGTTCTTAAGATTGGCTTTCCTAGTGGTCACAGGAATGCTGATAGTGATAAACAAGGCTACTGATTTTTGTGCATTTACCGGAACGAGAGGAAACCTCTTTCTAGACATGGAATTAAGCCCTTTTCAGTTTTGGGCCAACTTTGGGTACAATATCACTTCCAGACCAATAAGAATGTGTAAAAATAATTCTATGCACTGATTGGCTTAGTGTAATCGTATGAAGATGGGATGGCTGTGGTGAATCAACAATTGTGTGCTGAAATACTGAGATTTCTTTAGGGTTATCATGAAGAAAACCAATTTAGGTTCTACATTGAGACATCTTGCTGACCAGTTCTTACTGGTTGTCAAGAGGAGAAATGAGAGATGTAAATATGGAATAGACTATTTCTAGAGCAAAATAGGGTAAGTTCAGCTTTTGACATGGAATTTGTTACGAATGTGGGAAGCATGGTGAACCTTTGACAACATTAAACGTATTAAATGTTTATCTATAAGGTTGTGTCCTGGAAGTTAGGCATTGAGATTATGAATATGGATATAGTTTTTCGAGAAGATGGTTAGAGAATGATAAGAAAGCCTAGCAGAGACGTAGAATACATACATTTAAGAAGTTATTGGATAAACTGTTTTATGAGTCCCATTTATCTATGCTATCTCTTAGTTGCTGTGCTGCTGCTGGTTTCATTGATTTTTTTTAACTATGTGAATTTTATGAGGTAGAGGTGAAGATTTCTTTTTCTTTTCTTTTTGATAATCAGCACTGAGGATTGAACCCAGTTGTTCACACCTATAGGCAGACATATCGCCTTTGGAACTATACCTTTGGCCTATTTGTTTATTTCTTATTTGGGTATTAGTCAACATTGTTTCTTCTCTTCTCTTTTACTTTTTGATGGGAAGGGATTTGAACTCTGCCTGAGCCAACATGTCCAGTCCACTTTGCTTTGGTTATTTTTGGAGATGGGGTCTTGTGAACTATTTGCCCAGTCTGGTTTCAACCTCAGATCTTTTTAAATTTACCCTCCCAAGTAGCTAGGATTCCAGGCACGAGCCAGTGGTGCCAGGCTTAAGATTTTTTTGGGCTTTGTGTTGACGTTATCTTTTTTGTTTGCTTGTTTTTTGGTGAGACAGGTTTGAACTCAGGGCTTTGTGCTTGCAAAGCAGGTGCTCTACCACTTGAGCAACACCTCCAGCACTCAGTCATACTCAGAACTACTTTAGTTATTTTCTTAGCATACCATTTTAGCTGTTTTCAATGAAAAAAATTAATTCTCCTTTCTGTATTTTAAATTATCATAAGCTTGTAAGAATAGGGGCTGTTAACATAAGAACCAGCCATGTGGCCTATGTTTTAAATAATTTTTTCTTGGACATTCAAGTAGTTACTTTAGGACTTACTGTCTTAGATCTGTATTTTCTCTTGATTTTGATGAGTTCTTAGCAGAACTAAAATTCTTACACACAGGGATATTACTACATGCAACAGAAAATAAAGCTGGAAGCCTACCTCATATTATATATAAAATTAACTGCAAATGGATCAGTACCATAAATAAAAGTGCTAAAATTCTTGGGGTAATCTTAATGACTTTAGATTTACAGTGGATTATAAGATACGTTTGATATTGTATATAAGAAATGTGTATTTGATCTTGGTTTCTGTTTTCCTGGCATATAGCTTCTAAAACCCTTGGTATTTCCTAAGTGATAATGGCAAATGGTGTATGCTTTGTTATTTATATCAAATATCTTTTATCCATACCTTAATGAGGTGATTTTTATAAATCCTGTAAGGACAGGGGTCTGGTTGCCAGGGGGGAATTAACCCTGTGATTATAGTGTTGGAACATTTAGCCCCATCCCCAGACTTCTAGGGATGAAAGAGGGACTGGAGATGATTAGTTGTCACTTAATCATGTTGTCCTAATGAGACCTCCATTAGAAATCTTAAAATGAGGTTTAAAGATCTGTTAGGTTAATGAATACATTGAGTTGCTGGGACACTGAGAATGGGGTACGGAAGCCGTGTGCCTTTTCCCACTTATTTTGTCTTGTAGATAGATCGCTTCCATTTGGTTGATGCTGAGTACCCTCCTTTGTAATAAACTAGTGGTAGTAAATAAAGTGCCTTCCTGAGTTTCCTGAGCCTTTCTGACAAATATGAACTCTGAAACTTATGGTTTATAGCCAGTTGGTCAGAGTATGAGAGGGGTAGTCTTGAAATTCATACCTGAAGTGAGGGGTGGCCCTGTTGTACTGAGCTCTTAAAATTTGTGGAGTCTAATGCTAACTCAAGTGAAATTGTAGGTCACCCAGCTGGTGTTGAGAATTGGGTGGTGCGGGAATAAGCCCCCATGGTTTGGTGTCTGTGTTATGAAAATAGAGAAACACAGTTTACTCTTTTTAGACTATGACATCAAAAGTATATTCAGTAAAAGAGTGAATAAATTGGACTGAATCAAAATGAAACACCTCTGGGCAAACTACTGGGAAAAGAGAACCTACAGAATGAGAGAAAATATTTGCCAGTCTTATGTCTGGTAGGATCTAGTAGATGGAATATATAACGAAGCAATTACAACTAAACCATGGAAAAACAGTCCAGTTAAGAATTGGAAAAGGACTGAAATAAATACTTTCCTAAAGGAGATATGCACATGGCTAGCAAGCACATGACAAGATGCTTAACATCTTTGGTCTGTAGAGAAATGCAAATCAAAACCACAGTAAGCTCCTTCTTCACACTTACTGTGATGGCTGTAATTTAAAAGCAAATGGAAAATGATAAGTATTGGTAACGAGGTAGAAAAATGATACCTTGTGTATTGCTAGTAGGAATGTAAAACATTGTAGCCACTGAATAAAAATTTGGTGATTTTTCTTTTTCAGAAAGGTTAGCATAGAATTACCATTCGACCCAGCTAAAGAATTGAAAACAGATAAATACTTGTACCCAAATGTGCATGAGCCCACTATTTACAAGAGCCAGGAGATTGGATAAATGCCTTGTGTTATATGTATTGGAATGTTAAGTCACAAAAAGGAATGAAAAACTGATGAATGTTAGAAAGAGGATGAACCTCAAACACATTGTGTTAAGTGAAAAATAGCCACAGAAGATCATGTGTTACATGAACAAGTCTGAAATATCCAGAATTGGTAAATTAATACAAATAGAAGGCAGATAGCTAGTTGATAGGGAATTGGTGAGGGGTGAATGGGCAGTAATGAAAACAGTTTTCTTTTGGGCTGATGGAAGTGTTTTAGAAGTCAGTAGGAGTAGAGGGTACATAACATTTTCAGACAATAAATGGCATTGAATTTTTCACTTTGAAATCATTAATTTTATGTGTTACCTAAATAAAAGCATAGTCCTTGACTCTGTTGATTCTGGGCCCATGGTGGGGTAGAACATCATGGCAGCCAGGAGAATTGGAGCAAGAGGCTCACAGGAAGCAGAGAACAAGGAAGGGATGGGGATCAGGTATAACCTTCAAAAGCATACCCTCAGTGACCTAATTCCTTCACTAGGTCCCACCTCCTAAAGCTTCCAGAACCTTCCCAGATAGTGCCACCATCTGGGGACCAAGCATTCACATGTACCTACAGGGCATTACATATTCAAGCCATACCATTTTGCCCAACCCCCAAAGGTCATGCCATTTGCTAATGCAAAATGCATTCAGTCCATCTTCATTAATCCCTAAGGTCTTATAGTTCCAAAAGCCCAAGTTCAAAGTCACCTTTGAGATACAACAAACTATTAGCTCCGAGTCCCTGTAAAATCAAAACCAAGTTACATGCTTCTAACACAAAGCGGCACAAATAAAATTCCTGTTCCAAATGGGAGGCATAGGAGAATAACAAGGAGGGATCAGAGCAAAGCAAGACTGAAATCTGGCAGGGAGCCATTAAATCCTATAGCTCCATGTCCTGCATCCTGGGCACGTGGTGTGATGTGAGTTCACAGCCCTGTCCAGATGGCCTTGCTGGTTGCAGTGTACAGTCTCTCTTGAGCTGGCTCTACTTGCCTGCTGCCTTCCGTAGCAGATACTCTACATTCCTGCCATCTCCAACATCCTGGGGTCGCCATTGCAGGTTAGGTTTCATCCTCACAGCTTCACACAGTTATTAAACAAATGACAAAATTGAGACCAGTAACATTTTATATTTTTATTTTTGTGAAGCGAAACTTGTAATTTTTGAGGAGGAGTTTTACTATGGCTTGTGATTTTTTTATTCAAGTTTCATAATTATTAGTTTCTGGCTGGTGTGAAATTCCATAAAATTATCTGTGGTCCTCTCATAGACTTTCTTTTCATAGGCAAAATAAAATCATTCAGTATTGCACTAAGGAGTTTCTTATTTTGGGATATGTGTCTTATGATCTACTCTTGACTGCTGTGTCATGAGTCTCAGTTATGTGTGCATGTGTCCATTTTATACTTGTTCTTAAGTACCTGAAAGATCAGGAAGCAAGTATGTCATATGTAGTACCAAAAGTGTTCAGTGTCTTATTAGTGATAAAATTGTTTTTATATTGAGTTCAAACCCCAGTCCCACCAAAACATTTGTTTTTATTGAAGTAGCATAAGGTATTCTCACTGTACTGCCAAAAAAGAAGAAAATATGCATACATACTCAGATACAGAAAATTAAAGTTAATACTGTCTGTTCTTGAGACTTTTCCATTCTGACAACAATTAAGAAATAGAAAAACCTAAGTAGTTTTTATTGTTAATAACTTGTTAAATATTTTTTAATTATCAGATGAAAAATCACTGCTGGAACAGAAACCTTCTAAACCAGCTGCTCCACAGGTCCCACCCAAAAAGCCTACTCCACCTACCAAAGCCAATAATTTATTGAGATCTCCTGCAGTAGTGTACCCAAAGCGACCAGAAAAACCAGTTCCTCCACCACCTCCCACAGCCAAGTAAGTTCTACCTAATTTTAAATTTGCATTATTGATTTACTTACCTTTGACCTGAATGGCACTATTGCCTTTCTAAGTTTCTCAGTAACTTTTATTTTCTCTATGGATGTCATCTGTTAAATGTTACTCTTATGTTCTCAGTAGATGAATGCACTCAGACTCTTTATATTTCTGATTGTATTGTGATCAGGTTAGGATAGTTGGTTTGGGAATAGTTTTGTAGAATACAACGTAATCTGTATTATGTTATAAAATTTTTAATGCCATTAAAGCCTAATTTTAATTTTTTAATTTTTCACATTCAAGTGATGTTTGCATATGTTTGTTTTTCTCCTTTCAGGCTTAATGGTGAAGTTTCTATCATTTCATCAAAATTTGAAACTGAGCCAGTATCAAAACCAAAGCTAGATTCTGAGCAATTACCACTTAGACCAAAATCTGTAGATCTTGATTCACTTATAGCAAGGAGCTCTAAAGAAACAGGTAAGTCAGCATGGACAAAGCTAGTTCATTAAAAAAAAGTGATCAGTATATTTTTTAGAAACTCTTTGATTTGTATATGCAGTGGGTTGAAAGAAATAATGGAATTTTTTGAAAAAAATTTAAAAATGGAGTAGCCAAAGCAGTAAAGTACAATTAAAACAAGATAAGTGAGCAAAATTTTTATGGTTCTTACTGTTCAGAGGTTTCTTACTGATCAGAAAACAGAAATGGATAAGTTTTCATACTGGTCAGAAAACTGAAATGGATGTTACAAGATGATCCATCTATTACTTTATGTCTTTACAGTGGAATAACTGTTATCAACTATACCAGGCAGATAAGAGTACATTTTAGTTCTCAAAGTTTAAAAGTAGGACAATGTAGACAATTCAGTGCCAGCATTAGTTCATATTTTATAAGTTTTAAAATCTTTTCCTCTTTCACTGGAGGTGCTTTGATTTCCAACATAGGAAAATTTTTTTATGACTATATGTATGTGTATGTATATATATAAATCACAACATATCAACAAACTTCTTTTGCTAAATCTTGTTTCTTAAAGTTTAGGACTAACTTTTAGCCACTAATCATCTTGTCTTGTCCGTACTTCTTCCTGGTTTTTGGTATCTTATTAGTTGTAAAATGGAAAACTTGAGATAGAGGTATCTTAAAAAGTGCTCTTTACTAAAAGCATTATGCATTCATTACTTTGAGATAATGGTTATTATTTTATATAAAACTTTGCATTTGCTTTTTAGTAAGTTTTACATTTTCAAAGCACGTTATGTTCTTGTTTTATATTTATAGGCTTTAGGAAACTGATGCTCTTTTCCCTATTTTGCATTTAAACAGAGTAAGCTACAGGCACATCAAGAATGACCAGTCAGTTGCATAAGTCAAAGAGAACTCTTTATATGTAGTCTAATACAAAGTGCTCTGTGATACTTTAAAAAATCTTAATGTTTTAATGTATATCTTTTTGGCATCAGTTATGACATTTCATATTTAAACTTCAAGGCCAATTATACTTAGATTTTTTTTTTTTAGGTCACTGTATTGTTAAATAGTGTAATATTTCAAAAATTTTCAGGTAATCTTATTTTCCTTTCATCTTTTCAGATTGTCAGTGCAAAGGCTCTATCTTAACTGTGGTCCTCTTTTGTCTTTATATGAATATTTTATAAATCTTTTTGTCATATTTGTTTCCTGTCTGCTCTGGATGATATCATATTCATTACTAATTTCTGGGAATAAAAATGTTTATAGTTTATAGAAACTTACTGACACATACTTATATGTCTTATTTGATGAAAATTGACCTTATTTACTATTAAATAGACTGAAAAAACTTAATACTTTAAAAATAATTCTTTATCCTTTATTAAGTTAGAGAGCTTAGTAATAAAAAATAGAATATTATCAGACCATAATTTTTTGTTTGATGTAAAATATACCCAGAAATATGTTTTCAAAAGTTGAAAGAAAGATGATTTGCACAATTTAACTCTGGAAATCAAAACTATTGGTGTTGTCTTTCAAAGTCAGCAGTCTTTATCACAACTAAATTTTCATGGAGTCCTTTGGGAGTTGAGGGAGTAACAAGTAGTCTGTTTTGGTTTCTTTGTATCATTCTTGAGCATTTGCTGCATTATTTAGTTTGTTTCAGGTAGTGGAATTTTAAAACACTTTTGGTAAAACAGTTTTCACTTTTTTCACATACTCATTGATAAGCTTTGTTACATTTCCAACAGAAACAATACATTTAACAATTTGAAATCAGTGGTGGTTAGAAAGTTCTACTAGTTTTTAACTTCCTTTTGGGATCCTGTTTTTATCTTACATACATAGTAGTTACATACTCTTTGTATGAATAAAGAGGCTTTGTGGAGCAGTTTGAAAATTTCTAGTTTCTGGGTTTTTTTTTTCCCTCCTCTTTAGTAAGACATAATTAGAGATGCTAACACTTAAAAAGTCAGAAAATTAACGGTAAACTTCCAAAATCTGTCCTTTATTCCTCCTACTTAACTTGACTAACTTTGGTGTGCCACACTGACACCCTAAAAAGTTAAAAATATATAAATTTTGTGAATTAAGTAGCAAATATTTCCTGAGTCATTATTATATTATAGCCTCAGCAATATTTTTGACACAGTTAGTATGCTCAAGTAAAAGACAGCAACATATGCCAAACATGAATTAGAATATCAAGTGTTCCTAGTATAGATTGATTATCCCTTATCAAAAATGCTCAGCACCAGAAGAGTTTGTTCAGATTTCTGATTTTTTCAGAGGGAAGGTGTTGGTTTTGAGGTTTGTACTCAGGGCCTTGTACTTACTAGGCAAGCACTCTTTCTACCACTTAAGCCATGACTGCATCCTGTTTTTTGCTTTACTTATTTTTCACTTAGGATCTCACTCATACTTGTGATCCTTCTGCCTACACAATCCCACATAGCTGGGATTACAGATGATCACTACCACATCTAACTTGTTCTTTGAGATAAGAACCCACTAACTTTTGCCCAGGTTAGCCTTGAACTGTGATCTTCCTATCTTTGCCTCCCAAGAAACTGACATTATAGGTGTAGCCACTGTACCTGGCCCACATTTCAGATGCCTTGATTTTATATTTTGCACATACAGATTAAACACTAAATTCATTTGTTTCATACACTGTATACATGCATCTTCAGGGTAATTTCATGTAATATTTTGTGTGCTTTCATTTTGTCTGATGTAACCCGATACCTGAGGTCAGGTGTGGAACTTTTCCTCTTTTACCCTCATGTTGCTGCTCAGAAAATTCAATTTTGAGCACTTCCAATTTCCTACTTTTCAGCATAGGGATGCTCTTACTTATAAGTGCTCCGTGTCTTCTGTGGGATATTACCCCTAAAAACATGAGCTTTGTGTCAAGTACAGTCTCACATGTGGTATTAGGTTGACTCGTAATTTATAATTTTGGCTATTTTGAAGTTGTACATCTTTAAAATAGTGTATAAAATGAGCCGCTAATTTTCACAAAATGTAAAACATGGAAACCTCTTTCCATTACTAGCTAAATTAATCATTTGAGGTGAAATAGTATAGTAGAAAGTCCACTGATTCTGCTGTTAAAAAATATGTGTTTAGCTGATTGGGCATAGACAAGTTTTTTCTCCAAATCTGTTTTCTTGTTTAACTAGCTATTGACTGATTCAGTTATCTACATACCTACTAAAATACTTGGCATAGAAATTACTATAAATGTTACTTTTCTTCTGCCCCTTCCTCCATGTCCCCATTGTGAAATCCATCTCATTCTATGAAACATATGAGTTCCTGACTTTATTATCACATGAAAATTTCCTGTTTATAGAGCTGTATATATAAACATTCATGTATATGTATAAAACACATTCTGGCTTTTATCCGGATAAGGAAGTCATTCCTAGACTATTCAGTGAAGTTTTAATTTTTCTTTCTAATAGCATGAGGTAATTTAAGTTCCCACTTACGTATTCCCATATATATAAAATGCTATAGTACTATAAATTGCAGAGCCATGTTTTAGGGTTTTTTTTCTCTTTTTTCAATCTCTTCACCAAAAATTAGTTTTAAGGAAAATCTCATTCCCACTACCAGGTAATTACAGATATCACATGGTTCAACTATTTCTAAAACAGTAAATTTTCTGAGAAGTAAAATTATCTTGAAATTAGTTTTAAAATACTACGTAGAAAATTTAGTTCTAACATGGCTATTACATTGAGTCAACTGAGCTGATGAGGCATCCTTCCAGTGCAGTGTGCTACATCTCTTCATTGATTTTGACTGGTTTTTCTGTGATAAATTCTTCTAGGATTAAAAGGAAATTTTAAAAATGCATTATTTGATTCCAAAGCATACACAGTAGAATAAAGAAGGATTCTCTCAAATTTTATTTTACAATTAGCCTTATTTTTGTTTGAATTGCTTTCCCAATATTTACTCATTTCTCTCAGAAAGAATTTGTAATGTAGTTTTCCAAATAAGGCTCCTATTCAGTAGTAGACACTATAAAAAAGTTAGCTTGTGTCTAAACTAGGATTAAAAAGTTTCTAATACAGAGTACCTCATAAGGCATTAATAAATATTTACATTTGTATGAGATATTTTACAGATTGTATTGAATCTAATTTTTATAGTGAAATGCTCTAAAATAACATTTGGCATATTTTTATTTGATATCATAGGATTTAAATTGCCACTTTATAATCACTGTAATGCAACAAAGACTAAACTTGACTAAAAGTAAATTAATTTTAGTTACAACTATATTACAGTATATTAACATACTGCTTTTTAACATTGGCTTCTTAAGTACTAAGCTGTCCTTTTGAAGACTGTCTTGGTGTTCAGTTAGTAATAAAACAAGACTTCTTTTTACTTTAATGTGTATTGAAATTAATACTAATCTTTTGAAAGACATAGGAATCTAAAATCTAATACATACCTGTAGATAACCTGCTGAAGGTATATGCTAAACATTGAAATGCTTCTATTCATTCTACAACTGTTCCTTTTTCCTGCTTTGTAAAATAATTTTTTTGGTTTAGTGTTTTTTCTAGACATTCCTATCCTTGACTTTTCTTTCCAGATTTTGTTTCCTAGCCTGTTTGCCATGTTTCCCTTCTTACGTGTCAGGAAATTATCCTACCCTTCTCCATTTTGGTAAGATAACAATTTATGAAAGAAATCAAGATTAGTATATTCAGTATAAATAGTGGTGCACATTGATTTTTTTTCCTTTGTAATTTTACTGAAAGTGTACATGTTTGTCTGTCTTTATTCTAACCCTTTTGGTTTTCCATTTTAAAGTAATACGAAGTTCATTTTGGAAAAAACTTTCTTGCTTGTAGTTTAAAATATTTTTTGATGAAAGATTTCTTTAAAAAATATTGGCAACTATAAAAGTTGAGATTATTTTCTCCCAAAATTGGCTATTTCTCTTACTTTTAAAAATAAAAATTCCATGTATACCTAGCACATACATAAGTGGCTGGAAAAGTGACAGATGGGACTATAAGAGTTGACTGTGTTATACATTTTATGCCACAGTTATAGTGTAAATCCATTGTTATTATTACTCTTAGGTAAATTTAAAAGCATTTAGATATACCATAAGTCCAAAGTGTGCACTGTTCCAATTTTATTAACTTAATGGCTTAAATGGAGAACCTGAGAGAGTTTTAGAATGGTAAAATTGTCTTGGTGTTATAGCCCAAAATTGGACATATGGAAGGCACTTTACATGAGCATGGTATATTTTGTAAGTCTCCATTTTTTTACCCTTTCAGTTTCATTTCTCCTTATTTCTTTTATGTTTTTCTGTTTGTTTCTTTTTCTTTCTGTAAGCTGCTTAAATATGCATTTGAAAATTATCTTTATAAAAAGGCCAAAATGGTTGGATTTTACCTTTCAAAGTGTTTTTTTTTGTAAGTTGTCAGTGCACATTTATCAGTGTAAAGAACTGTTTTTAACCCTTCAAAACTACAGTGTATTTTTAACCTACCATTTAAAATTGCCATTTATTTTCTTTGTTTAATGTGTTTGCAAGTAAAATGACATGTATTTAAATATGTGCTTAAATCTCTTAGATGGTACAATACATTTTCTTACTATGGTTTGTTACATTTTGTAATTACTGATAATTATCAGAAGACAAAAAAAATTAAAGTGAGCTTAATAGGGTGTCTATTCTGCTGTATTAGCTTAGTGACTTGCTCCAAAATAGAACACATATAGTAATCTATGGAGAAAAATTAACAGTAGTCAACCAATACTGGCAGTTACAGAATGTGTATTTCCAAATAATACTTCTTTTTCTGCCTTGCCTTTGTGTTTTCCAACGCTTAAAGTAAAATTCTGTAAATGACTTTGAATATGAAATTTAAAGAATAAACTTTGAGGGTGATAATGGTGAACTTCTTCAGGGCTTTGTAAAGAAATAACGAATCACTGAGCAAGACATTTAGATAGCTGGCGGAAAGTAATATAGCCATCCAGGAAAATGGTAGTGTGAAAAATGAATCTAGGCCTAAAGATTAAACAAAGATAGATGCTGCCATTTTGGCTGTGGTTAATATTCCTAGTTTCGAACCTGAGCTACAGGAAGGTTAGATTGGCCATGGAACTATAGCAGTTTACCAGTAGGGTTTTTAGAGCATACATAGATATTTGGGCCTCAGAGTTAAAGAAACTCCTTTAGTAAGGTTTTCTGGTTAATGTAGAGAAAGCTAAGAAATGCATAGCATATTTTTCACAGGAATGAATTATCTAGATTTGTTCTTAAACCCGAAGTATTGGGTCACAGGTCAACTATTCTTTGATGGTGAGAAAGCACATTGGTGATCTGTGTAGTATTTTCCCTTGGTATCTGATTTGTTTTAGTTTTCTAAACATGGCAACATCTAAGCATAGGTGCAGCAAACTCCTAACAGTTTGAGTCCCAACTATAACATCCCATGCATGTACATTTCATATTAAGGCACATTCAGTCATGCTTTTGCTCTACATTGAAAAACACTAATGGAAAGCATCATGGTGTTGGATATAGTTGAATCTTTAAAATTTTAATATTATTCCACTAGTTGAAGTCTAAAACAAATTTTTCATATAAATTTTGTAATACGTTGTAATTAATTATAGTTTAAATGGATCAAATTTTGTAATACGTTGTAATTAATTATAGTTTAAATGGATCATGTTTCTTTTATAAGCATGAACTTATGATGATAGCTTTTTATGCTATCACAATTTATGGTACAGATTTATCTTCAATAAGAACTTTTTGTTGAGGTCTGAGTCTATGTTGGAAGCATAACCCTTGTATTGTTGATAAAGTCTTACGTTATAAAATGTATCAAATAGAGAGGATGTTTGATTTTTTAAAAGGTGAGTGTTGTTTTCCAAATGCATATGCAAAGCACAGGTCAACTTGTGAGCTCTTCAAGTTAGTGGTACTCTTTTTAATTCGTAGTTTGTTAAAAAAACAGAAACATTATTTTTTTACTTTTTAAGGGTTATCTTAATAGGTGATACTTTTATTCTCTAGATGTTGTAAATTTTGATGACATAGCTTCCTCAGAAAACTTGCTACATCTCACTGCAAATAGACCAAAGATGCCTGGAAGAAGGTTGCCTGGCCGCTTCAATGGTGGACATTCTGTAAGTTACACTTATTACAGGAAACACAGAAGATTAACAGATACAGAGTCCATTTGAAGATGAGAATGAGAGGATTGATACCCACACCTGAGGTTAAAGTCTGCAAGATAGCTGTTATACCCGTATAACAGGTGACTGTTTAAGAAAGTACAGGAAACAAACATAGACATTTCAACAGGGCCTGGAATGAAATATTATAGAATCAGAACTAAAGAGTTGTCATGAGACCATAACCAGGGAGTATAGGGCCGCAGGGGAACATGAAACTTGTTTAGTCAACCTATCCAGTAGGTTTGATTAGAACTGAGCAGTAGATACATTAACAAAGAATGATAATGTTTTTTTCTCCTGAAATATTCACTGTATTTGTAATACTTGTCCTGGTATCTAAGTAACTTCTTTTTATGCTTTTTATTCATTGCCTGGAATATGGGCCATACTTAAATATATTTGCTCTCAAGCACTAGGTGCTTTTAAGTTACATAAGTGGAAAGATTTTGCTATTGTGAGGCATGCTGTTTGTGCCCTCAAGATGAGCAAAAGTGTTATTCGGCCTTTAAAATGTAACCTCCGATTAACAATAATAGAATATGAGGGACAGTGGCAGCTGAAAACAAAGTGGTAAAGCTAATTTGCTTCAATTTCCAAAACCTTATTTACATTTCCTTTTTGTTCTGTTTTCTTGATTAAAAAACAAAACAAACAAACACAAAACATTTAGCCAACTCAAAGTCCAGAAAAAGCCTTGAAGTTACCAAAGGAAGAAGATAGTGCCAACTTAAAGCCACCTGAGTTTAAAAAGGATACAAGCTACTCTCCAAAGGTGAGATGCATTGTGGTCGAAGACTTGTATAGTTATAGGTTCTTTGGGAATGTCACAACTTCCAGAATTTAAGATATCCTTTAAGAAAATTACTTCTTCCGGAAGAAAGAAAAATTATTCCTACTGAAAAATTGAGTTACACTTAAGTCACATGATTTCTCTTCATTCTTTTTTAGAAGAGCTTACTATTTTAAATGAGTAACATGTTTTCTATTTCATGGCATAGATGTATTAAGGTTTCATTTTCTTATTAAGTATACACTATGAAATTAGTCCACATAAAGAAATCACTTAGGAGGGATAACAAGTTGTATTTTACCTAGTTGGTTCTTTTTCATCATAACCAAGCACTCAGTATATACTGGAATGAACAGAATACGGCTCTATGTTACATGTTGTTAAGTGTCTTTTTAAAACATGTTGCCATTTTTATTTAAGATAATTTTGCCACACTAACACAAATACTTAGATCATGTTTCCTTCCAAATTATTCCCCAGTTTTTTCTAAGGACACTTGGCTACTTTTTTAATTTATCGGGATATATTAATCTGATTCTCAAACTCTCAGCAGTCCACTGAAATTTACTAAAATGATTTCTCCTATTTTAGTGAAATCCTTGAGAGTTCCGCTACGGACTTAAGTCCTCTTCCATGAACTTATTAAATTCTTTGTAATCTTTTTTAAGTGAAGCTCATTGGATTCTTAACCCAATATGTATTTAATTATGGATGTCAAATCAACCATAATATGCTGGAACTTCTCTTGTAGGTGCTCCGCTAGGCAAACCATCCGTAAGATAAATATCATGGATCTTTTTCTTTGTTCTTTTTTAAAAATAAAATCATTGGCATTTTTCACAGTAAGCACTAGAGGTTGCAAATTTATTCTTTAGTTGTCTGGTAGGTTTTTTTTTTGTGATGAGCATCAAATGACTTTTTGAATTACAAATTTGCCATTTTTCTTGAAGTACAGGTTGAATATCCTTATCCAAATGTTTGGGACAGAAGTGTTTCAAATTTCAGTGTTTTTGTTTGTTTGTTTTGAAATATTTGCATATACATAATAAGATACATTGGGGATGGGACCCAAGATCAAACATGAACTTACTTTGTTTTATATACACCTTATATACATACCTTTAAGGCAATTTTATACAATACTTTTAGTATTAGTATGCCTGTATTTTGACTGCAACCCATTACATGCTATTAGGTTTAGAATTTGTCAGTTCAGGAATTTTCAGGTTAGGAATACTCAATCTGTATTAAGTTAGTTGTTTAGTTTTTTACTATAAAAATCTCTTGAATTTAAATATATTAAATTATAAATGCAAATAAAATAGAGAATAAACCTTTTATTATGTTTTCAGCCATCTCTTTCAGCACTTTCAAGTGCTTCTAAAGCAAATACAGCTGCTTTTCTAACTCCGTTAGAAATCAAAGCAAAAGCAGAAGAAGCAAATGCTGGGAAACAAAATTCCTTGGATGAACTTAGAGCCCAGGTCATTGAGCTGCTGTGTCTTGTGGAAGCTCTGAGAAAGGATCATGGGTAAGTAGCCTGTGTTTTCTCCTGTGAGTGCTACTTAACACGTGCATAAGGAAGTTCTTCACATTTTATCAACTAAAGATCTAGTATGCCAAATATTTGGTATAAAGAAGCACGTTTTCAAAGAAATTTTCATTAACAGTGCTTTTGTTTTTGTTTTTTTAAAAAAGAAACCCTAGAATTAGAAAACTTATTCCAGTAGTTTAATTTTTAAAAAGGTACATATGCACCTATATGCTTAGGCTAGAAATCTTCTGGTCAGACACAAGGATTAATTAGTTTTGAAGGTACTAAGAAAATCATACTGTATTTCAGATATAGTATATATTTTTCATAGTCAAACTTCTCAGAGGAGTTTGATCACTATTTCTGCTTGGGTTAAGTTAGACATTTATTAAAATGGGTTGGAATAAGTGATCTCTAACAACCTTGTTTTACCTGTGATTTTTTTTTTTTGTTGTTATTTTTGGGCACAGTGCTGGGGATTGAACCCTGTGCCCTTGTATAGGCTAGGCTAGTATTCTACCACTGAGCTATCCCCATGATCTTAAGTATTTGTGTTAGATGTGGCAAAATTATCTTAAATAAAAATGGCACATGTTTAAAAAAGACACTTAACAACATGTAACATAGAGATCCATGTATTCTGGTTCATTCCAGTATATACTGAGTGCTTGGTTATGATGAAAAGAACCAAGCTAGGTAAAATACAACTTGTTATCCCTCCTAAGTGATTTCTTTATGTGGACTAATTTCATAGTGTATACTTAATAAGAAAATGAAACCTTAATACATCTATGCCATGAAATAGAAAACATGTTACTCATTTAAAATAGTAAGCTCTTCTAAAAAAGATCTGAAGAGAATCATGTGACTTAAGTGTAACTCAATTTTTTTCAGTAGGAATAATTTTATTTCTTTGCGGATATACAGTGGAACGGGACACCTCTAATTGAAATTTAGGGCATTTTTAGAACTAAAATAAATGTAAATATCACCTATTGTGGACCCTTCCTCCTTTTAGGTTCAGAGAGTTAAAGATGATTTATTTATGATTACACAGTTCTTAAGTGACAGAGCTTAAACCCAACCCTGTGTTGAGTTTTAAAGTTTGTTGACATTTTAAGCATAGTCCTGCAAAGTACTTAAAGGTGAAAACAGATCAAAGAGGAGCTAATCTAATTGAATTGAAACTGTGAGTACTCATTCCGTTACAGATTCCCCTCTGAAAGGATTTCTTGGAATATGGTGTAAAATTCACAGCTAGAGGCCATGTTACCCTAGCCTAATTTTAACCATTTCTCTCAATTTGCAGTTAACCTAGGATTCTTTATTAAATTAATTTTGAGATTTACAATATAAGGTATCTGTAGCTTGTAGAACACTCTTAAATGGAAATAAAAAATGTATTTGAACAACTACTTAAAATATGTGTTGTATACTGTTGTCTGCCTAACGGAATTTGTCATTTTCTTGGATCCCTCACTTATATGTTTTGAATTTTTTTATTGATTCTGCAGTGTACGTATTAGAGACTGTGCACTCATTCCTGAGTAAATATTTATTGACTACTATCCATCAATTACAGAATTCTCCTGATTTGTGGATTTTGTTGTTTTACACTTTTGATACCAAGTGTACTGTTTTTAATGAAGCAGTATTTTTTTCTATATACATACAAATTGCCTATAAGTGCTTTTCAATTAGTTATAACATGGATGGTTCTGATTTATATATATATTTGGAAATATATGTCTTATATTTTAAATGTTTTCCCAAAAAGTTATTCCAGCATCTGAGTTCCTCTTCGAAAATGACAAAAATTAGATAGAAAAAACTTTAAATCGAAAATAAGAGAGTTATCTATGGATATTAGTAGAGAATACCAGGTATATGCAGCGAAAAGTAAAGTGATTGGGACCACATGCATCAACATGAATTGAAATATTGAAGGAGAGTTAAGGGAAATACCATAACCAGTTTATTCCTATTACATGAAGTTAAAAGAAATAAAAGTCAAATAATATTGTATTAAGATATATTTGTATGTATGAGAGATTAAGAAGAAAGAAAATGAATGATCATAATATTAACTTTTCCTATATGAGAGAGGGTGCAGCTAGATTGAGGAGAGATCGTGCTTTGGGTCAGATGTACCAGTATATTGCTATTTTAACAAGTTGAGTGCGAATTCTTAGACGTTTTTAGCTTACAGCAAAATGTAAAATGCAGTATTAATCTAAAATGCATGGAACATGGGGGAGTGGAGGGTGGTGTGGGCGGGGGGGTGGGGTGGGCGGGGGTGGGGGGGAGAGGGATGGGGGGAGGGGGGGGGGGGTGGAGGGGTGGGGGGATTGGGGGGGGAGGGGAGTTATGGGGGGGGGCGGGGGGGGGGGGGGGGAGGGGGGGGGGGCTTGGGTGAGGGAGTGGGGGTGGTGGGCTGGGGGGGGGTGGGGGGGGGGGGGGGGGGGTGTGGGGGGGAGGGTGGGAGGGGTGGGGGGTGGGGGGCGGGGGGGTGGGGTGGCGAGGGGCGGGGTATTACAATTGGAGATTGAGTGGAAACCAACAGAATATACAGTACATTCTTTCATTGAGGTTGCAGAGTATTATATTTGATCTATGTAAAAAAAGAAACAGTATAAAAAACTGTACATTTGTTAAACACATTTAAAAAGAACAATAAAAATGTGAGAGTGGTACTAAATTATCAGATTAGAAAGCAAACAGAGTTAACACTATCAATACAGATAAATAGAATTGGATAAATATTCTAGGAACAGTCTCAAATATAAGTTTAATTTGTAATAAGCTCAAATATTGAATAATCATAAAAGGAAATGTATAATTTAGTAATAACTTTATGGAAGTAAGAAATTAGGTTAGAAGTACCTTACCAAAATAAGTTGTAAATGAATTTGAGTTAAATAATATTTCAAAAATTACATTTAGGTAGATAAAAAAGTTAGAAAATGTACCTCCAGTATGGAAAAATAATTTTCTAATTTTTTAAACAACAGAAAAAGTTAGTTTTGAAATACTAATTTGAATAAAGTCCCTTCCTCTATATGCGTTTCTTATTTGTTTTTTAATATCTGTCTGTGTCTGTCTGTCTATCTATCTATCTATCTATCTATCTATCTATCTATCTGTCTATCTATTTATCGGCAGTACTTCGTGTTGAACTCAGCATTGCGTTTGTTATGCAGGCACAGTTCCAGTTGAGCCATGCCTCCTGCCCTTCTATAGTACTCTTGAAGAGAATTTCTCTAGTGTATATTAAAAGGCTGAAAGTGTCCCATACTTATTGATTTGGAAATTTGACGTACTCACATACTAATGACGTTAGGTGAATTCCTTATTCTCCCTGTCTCATGAAAAATCAAACAAAAAACCCCTAGATAATTGAATATCATTCAAGAGAACCATCGTAACTATGGAAAATTTAGCAGCATGAAATGTTTTAAAATAATTTCTAAAAAAGACACAATATAAAAATTTAATTTATAGAGTGACTATCTAGATAAATTAGAAGAAATGAATCCATAAAGAAGAGGTATAGTGGCCAAAGATTTTTGGTTTTGGCTTCCGAATGTTAATGTAATCTTATTTTTTAAAAAATAAGGTAAACTTGAAGTCCACTTGAAGTCCAGGTTATCTTACGAAATAAATTGCATTTGCCTTTTATTGTCACTTACCAAATATTCATTTTTGTCCAAATTGTTTCAACTCTGGAGGTGTTTAGCACTGCAAAATTCCTGATGCTGAATATGGAAGTTGCTTTTAAAGAGTCTTTCATGAGCTGTTTTTAATTTACTTAATTTCTTTATCTCAAATAAAGAAATTCACCACAGTGTAGTTGGGTTTTTTATTCATATTGAAGTATTCAAACTAGAGAATTTGAAATTCTTCTCAATTAACATGGCTATTCCTCTTACAAAGTTTTCCTCATGTACTGGGTTGTTAGACAAAAGAGATTCTGTTAACATTAGTCAAATACATTGTTATAAGTAAAACTTGTTTTTAGGAAAGAACTGGAAAAACTGCGAAAAGATTTAGAGAAGAGAAACGCAATGAGGAGTGATCTAGAGGTAATTCATTTTCCCAGTTTGAGATTTTAGAAGCATAAACTGGTCATGTTTTTTCCCTTCCAACTGTATGATTGGTTCTACTACAAATTTCGCTAACCATTTTGGTTAGACATAAAACTCCATTTTCTATATTTGGCGAATCCTATTTTTTGGCAGGTTTAATTCTTTGTGTAAAAATACATTTTTTCCTCATTCACAAACAAAAGCCTTCTTTCAGGTCTCTCTGCCCTCTTGATTTTTCTTTCTTTTTTTTTCCCCCAGTGCTGAGGTTTGAACTCAAGGCTTCTGCTGCTAGACAGGCACTTTATGGCTTGAGCACTCTGGCCATCCCTCTGCCCTTTTAATCTACTATACTTGTTTTGTTTTCATTTGGGATTCATTTATTACAAAACTTCACACCCCACTCCTCAAAAGCCTACCTTTGTAGTCTGATTTTTACCTTCAATTCCGTCTTTAACCATTGTGTTTTAGTCTAGGCTGACTGATGCCCAGTCCAGTCTCTTCTTAAGTTTCTGCAGCATTTCACATTTTGGCTGTTCCCATCTTATCAAAGCTTTGTCTTGGTTAGGTGACAATACAGTTTTCTGTCTAACTTCCTTTTCCTTTCTTTAACCTAAATGTAAATGTTGTTTTACCATTTTTTCAAAAGTTTTTTTTAAGTTACAAATTTCTGTTTAGTGAAGCATACTTTCTCCTAAAAGTAGAAATATTTCCAACACATGACTGAATCTTAGGTTTATTACTGGTTTTTAAAGACAGTTTAATTTAGCATCTATCATTTATAGTTGAGAAATTTGAAATCAAGTGAAGTAACCAATCTTACTCTTTCTGTTGTCTGTACTGCCCTCATTTCTTAATTTGGTTTCAAGGGTTCTTTTGTTTTTGGTAGAACTGATTGTTTTTATAGTTCTTATATTAAATGCTCATATTACTTAACATTCTGACTGAAATAACTCTTTTCTTATTATCTGCCATTTAGAAACTTATATTGTGACATCTGCTGAATCTTACTCAACATTACTACTCATTGTACCATGGGAAATTGTATTTTAGATATGGAAGTCAAAATCTAGAGGCTTTGAAAATATGATCGCATGTTAATGACTCATGCTAACTGAAAGAAACTTTACTGAACTGTTTTGTGTTTTATATTTTAGGTAGAAATAGAGAAGCTGAAAAAAGCTGTCTTGTCTTCTTGAAGTGGCATGGACCCAGTGTTCTTAGTGTTCCAGGGAGTCAGAAGCAACACTGAACCTCAGCTAACTCATTACTTAAATACGACTGCTGGTGTTATGACAAAGAGATATGAGTATATGAGCTATAGTATCTATGGGATAGTTAGGGTTAGGGGAGGGTGCTTTTTTTTATATATATTTTGTTTGCCAATATAAAAAAAAAAAGAGGCCTTATTTCTTACTGTGCTGGGATTGCAAACATTTTGTTGTTGTTTGCTTGAAAATACTACTGAATCTGTATAAAAGGAAAGGACGCTCACATTAGGTTTTTTTAATTGAGACGTATTATTTTTAAGGAGATCTGTACTATAAATATGGTGATATCTTTACAAGTAATCTGTAAGGTAAACTATTTGAGAGGGAAAAATTAGCTTTATAGTAACTATAGTCACTACTTCCTCATAATACATAAGGGATATAAGTTTGTGTATGTACATATATATTATATATATATATATGTATATATACACACATATATATAAATATATTTTTACTTTTAGCTTCTTACCCAGGATTACACTGTTGTGCCTGTTTGTCTGCAGTGCTGTTTATATTTTGGGTGATGAAATAGGAGTTTCCTAGGATAAACCAGATTACTCACCCATGCATAGAGTAATAACTAATGAAATAATAAAAATAACTTCAACTTTTAGTGTTTTATATTGCTTGCACTATAGGATTCATAAAAGGAATTTAATTAAAATGTATTGGATTAATGAACATTTGGGAAAATATGAGCCTTATTTTAAATTTATGAGGTCTAAGGAAACTAAAAATGTCAACTTAATTCTTGTGCCTAGAAACTACAGCACATATGAAATATGTAAACACCAGCCTTATTGCTGTGCTTGTCTGCTAATTTTACAGTCTCAAATACTACTTATTTCATTTTCTTGTGATTTTTGTTCTTCATGCTTCTCTCTGACTTTTAATAATGGTAATATTAGGAAAACGAGTTCCAAATCTTTCCAGAACTTCAGTGTGAGGTTTCCTAGATGGACAAGTTATCATTGTGTAAATACTCAGGTTTTATAGTGGATAATTTATCTAATAAATAGATCAAATTTACTCCTGGAGATAAGATGTAAAACGTTTAGAAAGAGTTTTAGGATGTCATGAAATACAACATCACAGCTTATTTAAACCAAATGTAGTTGACCATATAAAGATACATTATCACAGAATGACCGAATTAGTAGCTTCTCTGGTCACATATGAACAGTTGAACTTTAAAAAATATGTTACATCCATATGTGATATGTCTAAAAACATAGGGGTTTATTTAAAATTAAGATTTTGAAATTTTTGCATTTGTAACAAAAATTAGGTTTTAAGCTTTACTATAATAAATGAGTGTCAGATATTGAGTATCAGTTAATCATGTTTCCATTTTTAAAACCACCAAATATTTTTTCTTTGCATTTTAATCATAATATATAGAAATCTTACATAAATGAAATTTTGTCATGTTTCAGATAATAGAAATGGTAACACACAATTACTTAATGTTTAATTTAAACATTTGGGGAAAAGCTAATTGTGCATTGAGTGTGTACATTTTAGCCATTTAAAGTCTTTGGATTCCTCTAATGAGATCACTACTGAACAAAATTGTTCCATTTTGTTTTGTTTTTAAATGACTATTCAAATAAATTATTTCCTTCTTGTTAAATAAATTACATCTTCCTTTTATGGTAGTCCTTAATGTAAAAATTTAAACGTTCCATTCTAGAAATCATACTGCAGCTTTCTTACTGGATGATCTACTAAGTTTTCACTTCCTACCCTAAAAAAGGGATAGGGAAGGGTCTGGTGGATTCCAGGCTGTTCTTAAAGTTGTGAGCTGTGCATAGTGACTCACACCTGTAAACCCAGCATTCAGGAGGCTAAGGCAGGAGAAAGGATTGAATTTAAGGCCAGCCTGGGCTACATAGTGAGATCCTGTTTTTGTTTATTTGTTTGATTTTAAAGGAGTTCTTTGGGTCATTTTTCACTAGTACATAAAATCAAAGTGGTAGTGAGTACTGACATACAACTTTTGCTTTCTTATTCCTCAGTCAGAATAGGAAAGTTATTGAAGTTCTGTGTGTCTCTTTTTTTATCCTTTAGTAAATAAAACCAAGCAAGCTTGAACCTAAAGGACAAAAGTGATTCCTTTAATACAGCAATTTACCAGTATTTATCCCTAATATGGAAACTTCTTTTAATCACTATTCCTAAATGTTTGTATTCAAAATGATAGGGATTAAGTTTTAGTATTAATTTTTTTCCCTACATGTGAGTATAAATAACAGACTAAAGGTGGACATCATGGAATGTGTCCTGCCAAATGATTAGTGAATGTATAGTTCAGGTTTGCTATTCTTTGAAACACATAACATTACTAATTTCTTAATTAGTACTTCAATTTTGTGACTGTGTTTGTGACCACTAAGTCTCTGTCTTATTATGAAGCTGTTACCTCTACAGAATCTGGCAGAACTTTGTAGAAAAGTCTGAAGATACAGAGAGAGAATGGGTCTTGTGTGAGAGAGGATTCTCTTTTCTTTTGTGCTTCTTACTGTGATCACAGAAAATAAAAAACCCAAGTGCGCTGTAGATTTCTTGATAAACATTTTATGCTTGCATTTAAACTTGTATAAGCAGAATGAGACAATCAGTTAAAATCAGAAATGAGAAGTATTATATAATTTAATGGCCTTGTTTTCGCTGTAGCAATAAAATGATCAAGTGCAATGACTTAAAATCGTCTTTTAAAAGTTGCTGCTATGAATATTTC